TACGTACGTAGAAGGGCGCTCCCCAAGTGATCCTTCCATGGTTTCCTTTGCCGTAATATCAAGCAAACGAAAGCACAGGAAAGGACTGATCCCTGATGTATTTCAACTGCGATATTCGTGAACTTCCCTTGCCATGGCATACACAGGAAACTGGAAAATTTCGCTCTTTGAACGCCCTACATAGTACCGGTTGAGCGAACGGCCTAATGTCTTCTAGAAAACTAGGGAAGAACTTAGTCAGGATTGACCTTTCACACCTACTCGCTGTCGTTACCTCGCACCACTCTCACCTGCCTACGGCTGGACCTTGCTTAATTAGCTGTGCTGAGCGCTGACCTCGCTCCAACAAATCGCTCTCATGAGCAGTATTGATTATCAAGTCTATCTTTTTTCAGAAAATATGAGATATGAGAGTAAAGGAAATGCAACTCTGAAAATTCAACTACAGGAAACGTGCTAATTTCCTCATTCGGGTTCATTCTGCCGGAGAATTTCCTTGAGCAAAGTACCAGTATAAACGCCATTTTTTAACCTTTGCGATAATTTAGGAATTATCACAGCGTTGCCCATTAGCTTTTCCTAATACCTTTTTCCCCTATCACTTGTCTTTCCAAAATTGCCATCGTATTCACTTTGGGAGCGTTGGGAAATCTTCAATTTCAGACATTCCTCTTCCTTACAATCCTCTTTATGCCAAAAGGTAGAAGATACCGTATACTTTATGCACGGGGCTGCAACAGGGTCAACCCTGCGTTGCGCAAATTCCCAAATTTTTACGACCCCCTTCCTTTTCGGGGGTATCGGTACGACCCCCCATATTAACTATCATGTCTTTCACATAATTTAATGCTCATCGAATTAGTTTCGTTTCGGAGAAGAACTAGGCTTAGATGACTCCAGCGCGCAATGTTATCCCTTGTTGGGAGAGCGCTGGGGAATTTTCGTTTTTAGGTACTACCTTCCCCCTCCTTGCAATCATTCCCGAACCCGAACTAGGGCACAATAGGAGACAGTTTGTAAAAGCGATCGTGGGTTGCAATACAACACACTGTTGAACCATGAACCTACATTTAGCTTTTCGAACGGGCTTACGATTAGCTTCCTTGACTTTTCACAAATTGATCAAATTTGCATAAATTTGAATTTGCAAATTTTCTGTTTCTAACATCTGAAATCGCTAATGTTACCCAATTGTCGAATGCCTTTCTGATTCAAAATGGACCAACAAAATTTCAAAGCAATCCGAAAAAATCGACACTTTCTTTACATCTTTCACACTCTGCTATCTTTAAACACTGCACAATGGGATAATGAGGTCAGAATGACCTAGTGTTTGCCTTGCTACTATTCATGAAGTCGCTTATCTGAAGAAATCTTGATAGTTTTTCTTTCACTTTCCTCGCTCTTGCATCTGCTGGGAATTACTATATTGAGCTTTGAAATTTAGAAATCAGATTCCTAAAATTAAAATTCAGCTGCTTTACTTAAACTAATTTTGTGTTGATGACTTCTTGAGCGAACAATATTCTGTATGAGATGAATTTACAGGGTTGAGGTCAGCAGTCAGCGCAGTCAATTAAGCGCAAGTGTCTACCCAGAGGTAAGTTTACAGGATCGTGCGAGATAACCACGGCGAGGAGGTGTGAAAGGTCAATCCTGACTAAAGGTGCACACCCAGAAAACTATAACGGCATGTAAAAAGAGGTCACCGTACGGCGATATATACTACATCGTCGAGTGCCGCGTGTGTGGCAAGTGAATCATCTTTGGTGACCTCTTGTCACATACCTCATCGAGAAAGGCTAGCGATTGAAAGAGGTGAGTCGCCATACATCTATGCGAAGTAAAAAGGTGTCTAATCTATACTCGATATCGGAGAGTTGGGGTAGGCGTGTCACCGGAAGTGACGTGCACTTGATAGAAGCTATGTGGATAAGCTGCTTCCAACATACATCGCTGGATATCAGCAAAGCATGCTGGCAACAGCTTATCCACGCAACTTCTATCAAGTGCACGTCACTTCCGGTGACACGCCTCCCACAACTTTCGGATATCGAATGTATCTTTAGGCAAGAGCCGAACGGCTCCCGTTAGGTCAGCGCCACTTTCCTCAGCTGAGCCAGCTGAATGTTCGCACAGCGTCATGGTATGCACAATTGGACCAACCACCTTACCTTAATCTTTGCTATTTCTCGCCCCCTATCCAGAGGATGATTGGACCAGTTGTTGTCTCTATTTGATGGCTGCCTTTGCGGAGAGATTCTTTTCAGTGCCTGAAAGTTGGCCGAAGTATTTCTCCCAACTACGTTTGAACTTCGACTAGCTTTGCTAGAATGCCACCATCTTCACTGCTCACTATAGCCTTCACCACACGGAAATTTTGCTTAGACTGATGTATCCTTGCAATAACCTTTGTGCGCGCGCGTAGTAGTGGTTTTGCTTCGTGCCTTTCCCTCAGAGATTATAATAAGGTCCCCTCTGTACCCCCCCCCACATACTGCATACGAATTTCAGCCACACTTATCCAGGTTTCCTTTCCCCTGAACGTTTTACCACGAAGGTGTTTCAAATTCCAAAGCTTTTCTGAAGTTGAGACCCACGTTAATCGATAGAGTTTGTAATGGTGGTTACAAAAAGCAAAACTGCTTCGAGAATTGTCCAAGAAATCGTGAGCGATTAAGGTTGGTATAATGATGCCTGGTGAAGGCTTACTTGTAAGGGATTCTGATGGCCTGATTACGGATTATTTCTTGAAGGTATTCGATGTACCAAAAAAACAGAATAGGAGTCATGCCCTTGTACCTGGAGAAGCACCCAGCACAGCAAGAGTAGGATACCGTTTGGCAGGACCGCTTGGAGAAGGCCGCTAATATCTCAGCGCTAGAACAAGCTGCTGTATTTGTGAAAGAAGGATTCTACGACAAAGGCGAAGTCGAAGAAGGGAAAGTCCACTCCAGTAAGGAAACAGGCGGACCTCTAAAGATGCGGACCAACAGCGCAATTCGCATCGAAGGATACGCCTTCGGCAATCTACTACGATGGCCTTCCCCACGGCGCAGTTGGCGCGGTATTGTCGCGGTACACCCTCCTCTCGCGTCGTATCGCGTCTGAGCCTCTAGCCGCTCAAGAAAGAGAGAGAGCTTCAGCGTTAAAGAGGGAGGACCTATCAAATGCGAAATCAACGTGTACAGAAGGGGTTCCATTTCTCGAGGTTCTGACCTTTTGTCGGTTTTTTTCTTCTCTCGTGTATCATTGACCATCTCTAACCTAATTTCCAGTAAGTCGTCCTCGTCATCATTAAATCCGCCTTTATCACATTAACCACTACAACAACATGATCAACAGGACGTGCACTGATAGTGAGATGCGGTTGCGTGTCTCACGCTCGTCATCCTTTTCGCATGCGACGCTTCTTCCCAAGTTGTTTGTATCTTATTCCGTATCACCCATTGACTTAAAGGAGCAACATCCCCGGTAAAATTTGAGGGGTCACAGCGGTCGATAATAGAACTGTGGATGCTGAGTTGACTTAAAAAAGCGAAGACAACTGTTGATTAAGCTTTTAACAACTATCCCTCTCTTTCTACTTGAAATAAGGAAGGGGCGGTGACGGACGAGTTGTACGAACTCTTGCTCCGTGGCTCCATTAATCCGCGCATATTTGAAGTAGCCGCTGTCGTGATCCACGCTGCGTGTCACAGGATGTACGCGAGTTATCTCATCAATAATTACTTATTCAATAGTCAACATTAGTCGCCATACGTCCACTTTGCAAAGCGCTAGCGCCATTGTTGCACACTGCGAAACGCGACAACGGCACATCTGTGATATTCGTGGACTATTGTACCCCTTTCACCGAAGGACGTTTTGCTGCTTTGACACGACTTTTACAGGGTGGTGCTTTAAAAACGCCACACTTGGCCAACAAGCATAGTGAAAATACCTGACTAGCAGCATCGAAGGTTTGTAAGTGAGAAAATGTATCCCAACTCCAGCTTTCGGCTGAATCTTCGTCGCCTTAAGACGTCAAGCTGGCACAAGAATGAGCCAGATGCATACTGGAACTACACTGGGCCCACCTACTATTTCCACGCTTCTTCTTCACTCAACAAAAAGGGGAATTATTTGCCACAGCAGGACTAAACGCTACGAATTGGGTGTCTCCGGCACAATGAAGCCAGAGCAATAAACCGATATGCTTGAAGCAAGTGCTGAGAAAGATGGCAAGGGTGATGTCTTGCGCTGGATCGTGCTGCCTGCAGGAATTCCAACCTTCTTCGGGGAGAATCTCCTACGTGTATGAACCATTTCACTTTTACTTTCACACAAACACCGCGTATCTCTCACGTGACCGTACAAAAACGATATTACAGACGAACTGTTGCACCCATATTCCCTCCCCCTGATTAAAATAGGCCCGAACTGAAGAGATGAACGAACAACGTTTTGACAAAAGGCTTATCTCATGAGAATGTAGCGCGTACAACCTCGCAGGGCCGATTGCAAGGTCGACACATATCCTCTCTGTAGAAGCTGCAAACGAGCTGCGCGAGCGCAGCAGGCGCCCTGAGTGCGGTCTCAGTGGTGCCAACTGCGGTAATCCGGTACACAGGGGAAAGCGTCGCACTTTCTCAGCAGTTTTGCATGGTCAACAAGAGGACTACACATCATTTCTTTTTTGACTTTGGTATGTTATTTATGAAGATGGTCGCTAGAATTGCACTCCTTATACCTCGTCTTGTTTCACGGCATCATACGACAACATTTATCCAGTGAAATGGGTCTGCAAGGTAATATAGGGGAATAAAATTTATTTGAAGCAAAAACTCGTCTCGAGTAATGGTAGATTCAGAAAGCTGTACACCAAATAAAATGACGATATATGAGAGGCGAGATGCATGTAAGCGAGATGCAAGTGAATAGTGAGGGAGGAGGTAATGAAAAATACAAAACTTCTATCACTTCAGCTTCAAGTACCACCGGTTCACTCAACCATTACGTCAGCGCACACCAACCTACAACCAGCATATTGACATTTTGAAAGCCGACAACAAGAAGAACAATAAGAATTTAAGAACATTTTAAATTCGAATTTAAGAGCAAATAGAATTCAAGAACATTTCCCCAATGTTTAAATACACTACCTGCGCTTGCGTTGCGTTTTTACCGGCGACGTTGTTCTTATTTGGCAACGGACGACGAAACAGTAGAACATGTCGTTCGGGGCCATGGATCATATAGTGGACCCATCCTGGCGACTGAAATCATTTGATGGTAGAATGATGATAAAGATGATTTATTCCAGGATCATGTCTCCTCACCTGTTGAATCCCAAGGCTTCGCCATTCTGTTTCAGACATGAGACGATTTTTCGGTATGAGCTTGGCGACCTCCTTGGTAACATGAACATGTCTGTACTCGTATTCGTCATCTTCGTATTTGTTGGAATAGTAGAAGTCGTTCTGACCAGTGGTCATCGCTGACTCTATAAGTTTTTTTGTTTAATTCAACAAAATATGTTCAAAAGCATAAACGCGAATATCGAAATATAAATGACATCACGAAAGTCAGTAACTAAAACAGTACAAATTCCACATGTAAGGAAAAAGGGATGGAATTTGAAACGGTATGGGTTAAAAAACCGCATCACTGGGATAAACTGAAAATTGAAGCACTGAAAACGAAGCGCGTAATGGAATCGTAACAACACAAAAAGAAGGCCGCGCAATGCACAAGAATGGCCGCAACCTATAATGCATTGGTAGCGAAATTAGTCTCTGCCTGAGATCGGAGTCTATTGCCGCGTAACTCAAGAATTCGCGAACTGCGGCCGAAAACAACAGTCAACAATGGACAAGTCAAGATAAATAGAATGTCAAGATTAAAAGAAAAGGCAAATAATTCTATTTCCAGAGAAGCTCTTGACTCCTAACAAAGGAAACGATGTCTTCTTGATCCTGAAAAAAAGCAAGCATACAGATTATGGCAGATGGACTACTATAAGAGCTTAAACGATGTGAAAGAAGCAAAAGAGCCCACTTCGACCATTTTGGCAAAATCTGCAACGGTCATGGGAATACTAGTCGATTGCGTGTTCTCTCCATCTATTGAATATTTCACCCTGAGTTCTGAAGAAGGCCGATTATATGAAGATGCGGTAGTTACTGAAATAAAAAGAATGATGTTGAGCCTGACCAATGGCGGCCCCTACTTGAACATACCTACTAACGCATACTCCAAAATTGTGGGTTCTCGCGGCATCTGAAAAAATCATATAGCTGCATTGCCTAATCTAAAGAAAATGGTGCTAAGATAGTATGGAGAATGGAACTCTTTTCAAGAATACCGCGTGTTAATGACAATAACCTTTATTCATCAATCGAGGAATACTGAGATCAAGGTCGAATGAAAAATTTATGTAGTAAAAGTAACCCACTCGGAATATTGCGAAAAAGCATCGCTGGGGTCTCGTCCACTAAGGGGGGGGGGGCATGTGGTGCGACAGTTGTCGCCTGCACTGCAATTTTTGCAAGGGAGAGGATTCCGATGTACGTGAACTTCTTTGCCCTCCTCTGACCCACCCCGAAGTTACCTTCTCTTACAAAAAAACTGGATTATTTTGAAATGAACATCGCACCAAATACCCGCTTTTACTGGATGGACCCCATCGCTGATTTCCACTTGCAGGTTATGGTGCATTATGAACATGCAACGTTACAATATGTACACATCATAAAGAAAATTAGCATTATTCTAGTTAGTCCTCATATCGCTGTCCTCAGAACTGCCTGAATCACTGTCATTGCGCTTCTTTCCGAGCCTTCGACCACGTCTTTTTGCTTTCTTTGCAGTTGGACCATTCAAAATTCCAGCGGTATTGCAGTACGAAGGTATCTGCAATGGAAGAAATGGTCTAACCAAGCTTTAGACATCCAAAACGTGCAACTCTACCTCTTCGCCTTCAAGAATCCGCTCTAACCGGGTCACTGAGTAGTCATCCGCAACTGCTACTATAAGCCGTCCATTTGCGCCAAAGCAAATCTGTCGGACGCAGCACTCCGCAATCTTCGTTGTCACATTCCTAATTCGTACAGTATACGTGAAGTGGCACAAGGCCAACGATTTCTTCTCAAAATTGACAAGTTTCTTTGAATAGAACCTTCTCTCGCAGAATGTTCAAAAGAGTAATATAGGGGACCCAGCCCTTAGCCGTTGTATTGAGATCTCTCGAGCCCCCTTGTGACTGGAGAGATTCAAAATTTGCCGTGATCACGAGGACAACGTTTAGCTTTACCTTAAACTCCACAAAACAACATCCATCCCCCATCGGAGCTAAAAAATGGTTCTTTGGCTCTGTTGGACTCAGTTCCCCGACTACTCAGTTCCCCGACATATTTCGCACAAGCTTCCACTACCGCTTCTTGCCGTCGCTGACGTGACACGACAGACAGACAGCCACGGAAAGAAAACTCGGCAAACCGTTAACAACACCTTAATCCTTGATTTACTCCTAGCTGGATTTTGGTTGCTGCTAAAGAAAATCGGAAGGTTGCGAAAATTCAAAAAATAACGGTTTATCCAGAACTACCGCCAAAAGTACCATTGCATGTGAAAAAAAAACAATATTTTTCTCTCGCGCAGTCCCTCAAAACGCTCCAAAACACATATGTAATCAGTTTAATCTCAACCTCAAACCAGTGCAGAAGATCGATATCAAAGTTCAGATTTCAGAGAGCTCATTCAGAGTAGTGCACTTCATTAGGGTTCAACAGTGCACAAGGTTGATACCGGATTGATCGGCTACGTTTTGGGAGATAGCGAATTATTTGGAGCCCAAGAGGTGGGAAAATTTCACGAAGTACCCTTCCCCTAGTACCATATCTTCGTTTATCAACGGATCCAGATTAAAATCAACAGCATAGCAGATTTCAGACTAGTCGTACTTAGAACCTTCTTCGGAAGGTTAATCTTTTACTAAAGGTACGCTCCCACGGTCTTGACAAGTATTCTACCCTGTTGTTAGTCTGTGGAAAGGACAGGTTCATCGTAGTGGACCATGCTCCGCAATGTACCGGCTCATTTGAAACCATGCACAGAAGCAAGGCAGAAGAAACAACTTGGGACAAAAAAGTGAATTTCACTTACATATTGACCGCTGGAAGACCATCAGTCAGATCCCACATGCACAGCTGACCCATCTTATTGCCACTTACAATCCACTGAAAAAGTATATCTAGC